AAGCTCCCCAGTACATAGTTGTATATTCTAGTTGTAGGTCCTTCCAGTTCTGCTATGTGGGAAACCGCCTCAGCATGGCCCGATTAGCGGTGCCACGTCTGCGCCCAGGATCCGAAATGGCAAAACCCTGGGCTGCTGAAGCGGAGCGCAAAAACTTAACCGCTAGGCCATGGGACCAGCCCCCAGATATTTTGAACTGAATGAAAATGAAAATACAACATACCAAAATTTGTAGGATGTAGCTACAGCAGTGCTTAGTGGGAAATTTATAACTCCAATATGCTCATATTGGAAAAGAAGAAAGATCTATAATCAATGACCCAAGTTTCTAGAAAAACTTAAAGGAAGAAAACAAGATCAAAACAGAAATCACTAAGAAACACAGCACAAGAAACTGCAGTAGTCAATGGGTAGGCTAAAGCACACAGGACGAGAAACAAAGGTAATGCAGGAAATCCAGATAACGAGCGACAGATTGTCAGCATTAAGTCCACATGCATCAATAATCACCCTCAATGTAAATGGATTGAACTCTCCAATAAAAAGACACAGAGTGGCAAAATGGATTAAAGAACAAGATCCAACAATTTGTTGCCTCCAGGAAACACACCTCAGCCCCAAGGACAAACACAGGCTCAGAGTGAAGGGGTGGAGGACAATACTTCAAGCTAACAGCAAGCAAAAGAAAGCAGGTGTTGCAATACTTATATCAGACAAAACGGATTTCAAAATAAGGCAGGTAAAGAGAGACACAGAGGGACAATATATAATGATCAAAGGGACACTTCATCAAGAAGAAATAACGCTTATAAATATCTATGTACCCAACATAGGAGCACCAAGGTTCAGAAAGCAACTATTAACATACCTAAAGGAAGATGTTAAAAACAACACAATAATAGTGGGGGAACTCAACATCCTACCCACATCAATGTACAGATCATCCAGACAGAAAACCAACACAGAAATAGTGGAGCTAAACGAAAAACTAAAACAATTGGACTTAATATACATATATAGATCACTTCATCCTAAAACAGCAGAATACACATTCTTCTCAAGTGCACATGGAACATTCTCAAGGATAGACCATATGTTGGGAAACAAGGCAAGCCTCTACAAATTTAAAAAAATTTAAGTACTAACAAGCATCTTCTCCAATCATAATGCTATAAGGCGAGAAATTAATTACAAGAAAAAAGCTGACAAAGGTACAAAGATGTGGAGACTAAACAATAAGCTACTGAACAAGTAATGGATCATTGAAGAAATTAAAGAAGAAATAAAAAAATACCTGGAAACAAATGAAAATGATAACATGCCATACCAACTCATATGGGATATAGCAAAAGCTGTATTAAGAGGAAAATTCATCGCAATACAGGCACATCTTAACAAACAAGAAAAATCCCAAATAAGGAATCTTAAACTACACCTAACTGAACTAGAGAAAGAAGAACAAATAAAGCCCAAAGTCAGCAGAAGGAGAGAAATAATAAAAATCAGAGCAGAAATAAATACTATTGAAACGAAAAAGGTGGTAGAAAGGATCAATGAAACAAAGAGCTGGTTCTTTGAGAAGATAAATAAAATTGACAAACCCCTAGCCAGACTTACAAAGAAAAAGAGGGAGAAAGCTCAAATAAACAAAATCAGAAATGAAAGAGGAGAAATAACAACAGACTCTGCAGAAATACAACAGATTATAAGAGAATACTACGAAAAACTATATGCCAACAGAATGGATAACCTAGAGGAAATGGATAAATTCTGGGACTCCTACAATCTCCCAAAGCTCACTCAAGAGGAAGCAGACAATTTGAACAGACCAACCACAAGGAAAGAGATTGAAACAGCAGTCAAAAACATCCCAAAGAATAAAACCCCAGGACCAGATGGCTTTCCTGGGGAATTCTACCAAACTCTCAGAGAGGATTTAATACCTATCCTTTTCAAGCTATTCCAAAAAATTAGGGAGGATGGAACACTTCCTAACACATTCTATGAGGCCAACATCACGCTGATACCAAAACCTGACAAGGACACCATGAAAAAAGAGAACTACAGGCCAATATTGCTGATGAACATAGATGAAAAAATTCTCAACAAAATTTTGGCAACCCGAATACAGCAATTCATCAAAAGAATCATACATCATGATCAGGTGGGATTCATACCAGGGACACAGGGATGGTTCAACATCCGCAAAATCAATCAATGTGATACACCACATCAACAAACTGAGGAATAAAAACCACATGATCATCTCAATAGATGCAGAGAAAGCATTTGACAAGATCCAATAGCCATTGATGATAAAAACTCTGAACAAAATGGGGATAGAAGGGAACTACCTCAACATAATAAAGGCCACATATGACAAACCCACAGCCAACATCATTCTCAATGGGCAAAAACTGAGCGCCATCCCCCTGAGAACAGGAATGAGACAAGGATGCCCTCTATCACCCCACTTATTTAACATAGTTCTGGAGGTCCTGGCCAGAGCAATCAGGAAAGAAAAAGGAATAAAAGGAATCCAAATGGGGGGGAAGAAGTGAAACTCTCGCTGTTTGCAGATGACATGATCTTATATATAGAAAACCCCAAAGAATCCATTGGAAAACTTTTGGAAGTAATCAACAATTACAGCAAAGTTGCAGGGTATAAAATCAATTTACATAAATCAGTAGCATTTCTTTTTTTTTTTTTTTTTAAGATTTTATTTTTTTCCTTTTTCTCCCCAAAGCCCCCCGGTACATAGTTGTATATTCTTCGTTGTGGGTCCTTCTAGTTGTGGCATGTGGGACGCCGCCTCAGCGTGGTCTGATGAGCAGTGCCATGTCCGTGCCCAGGATTTGAACCAACGAAACACTGGGCCGCCTGCAGCAGAGCATACGAACTTAACCACTCGCCCACGGGGCCAGCCCCAAATCAGTAGCATTTCTATACTCTAATAACGAACTAACAGAAAGAGCACTCAAGAACACAATACCATTCACAATTGCAACAAAAAGAATAAAATACCTCGGGCTGAATTTAACTAAGGAAGTGAAACACCTATACAATGAAAATTACAAGGCTTTTCTGAAAGAAATGGATGACGACATAAAGAGATGGAAAGACATTCCATGCACATGGATTGAAAGAATAAACATAGCTAAAATGTCCATTCTACCTAAAGCAATCTACAGATTCAATGCCATCCCAATCAGAATCCCAATGACATTCGTTATAGAATTAGAACAAAGAATCCTAAAATTCATATGGGGCAACACAAGACCCCAAATTGCTAAAGCAATCCTGAGAAAAAAGAACAAAGCTGGAGGCATCACTATCCCTGACTTTAAAACATACTACAAAGCTACAGTAATCAAAACAGCATGGTACTGGTACAAAAACAGGTGCACAGATCAATGGAACAGAATTGAAAGCCCAGAGATAAAACCACACATCTATGGATAGCTAATCTTCGACAAAGGAGCTGAGGGCATACAATGGAGAAAAGAAAGTCTTTTCAACAAATGGTGCTGGGAAAACTGGAAAGCCACATGGAAAAGAATGAAAATTGACCATTCTTTTTCACCATTCACCAAAATAAACTCAAAATGGATCAAAGACCTAAAGCTGAGACCTGAAACCATAAGGCTTCTAGAAGAAAACGTAGGCAGTACACTCTTTGACATCAGTATTAAAAGGATCTTTTTGGACACCATGTCTTCTCAGAGAAGGGAAACAACAGAAAGAATAAACAAATGGGACTAAAAAGCTTCTTCAAAACAAATGAAAACAGGATTGAAACAAAAAACCAACCCACTAACTGGGAAAAAATACTTGCAAGTTATATATCTGACAAAGGCTTAATATCCAAAATATATAAAGAACTCTCACAACTCAACAACAAAAAATCAAACAACCCAATCCAAAGATGGGCTGGAGACATGAATAGACATTTCTCCAAAGAAGATATACAGATGGCCAATAGGCACAAGAAAAGATGTTCATCATCGCTGATCATCAGGGAAATGCAAATCAAAACTACACTAAGATATCACCTTATACCCATTAGAATGACAAAAATATCTAAAACTAATAGTAACAAATGTTGGAGAGGTTGTGGAGAAAAAGGAACCCTCATACACTGCTGGTGGGAATGCAAACTGGTGCAGCCACTATGGAAAACAGTATGGAGATTCCTCAAAAAATTAAAAATAGAACTACCATACGACCCAGCTATTCCACTACTGGGTATCTATCCAAAGAGCTTGAAGTCAGCAATTCCACAAGTCCTATGCACCCCAATGTTCACTGCAGCATTATTTACAATAGCCAAGACATGGAAGCAACCTAAGTGCCCATCAACAGATGAATGGATAAAGATGATGTGGTTTATATATACAATGGAATACTACTCAGCTGTAAAACAGAACAAAAGCATTCCATGTGCAATAACATGGATGGAACTTGAGGGAATTATGTTAAGTGAAAGAAGCCAGTTAGAGAAGGATAATCTGTGTATGACTCCACTCATATGTGGAATTTAAAAATGTGAACAAAGAGAACAGATTAGTGGCTACCAGGGGAAAGGCAGGGTGGGGTGGGGGTGGGCACAAAGGGTGAAGTGGTGCACCTACAACACGAATGACAAACATTAATGTACAACTGAAATTTCACAAGATTGTAACCTATCATTAACTCAATCAAAAAAAAAAACAGAAATCAATGACATTTTAAAAAGACAGATAGAGAATATTAAAGTAAAAGGTTGATTCTTTGAAACTATCAACAAAATTGATAAATCCCTAGTCACACTAATCAAAAAAAGAGAGGGAACATAAATTAGCAATATCAGAAACGAAAAGGGTACAGCATTAAAATGATACAGAATATTATTAATAAAAGGTAAAAAAACACAGTAGAAAACCATTTTTTTAGTTTATCATCAAAGCAGAAGCAGAAGTATATATTAGAAGAGGATTATGTTAACTCTAAATATGAACCTGCCACAGAAGAAATCTCTTGTAACTCAGCCAGGGGAGAAGCCGGTTCCGTTTTCATAGTGTTTTCTCCCATTGACTTGCAGTTCAACTCCAAGCCTGCAGCCCCCAATCCATCCCCAATGGAATGGCAAGTTAGTGCAGAGGAGACCTGGCCAGCTTCCAAAGGAGATTTCAACTGACCTAGAAGAAAAAAAGAAAGATTGGAGAACATATACATGTATATAATCTGAGAACCAAAGCCCCACAACAGACTAAGAAAGCCAGGGACTTTTTAGAGGAAGTCATTCATCTCACAACATACAAGAATACATTCACAGGTTCCAGCACACACAGCCAGGGCTGTGAGCATATCAAAGAAAGAAGCTAATAAGAAGCTAAAGTGAAGGGAGGATTTGCTGGTAGTGTTAACAAAAAGGCAGAAGCACTGGAGTGAAATGGCACCATAAAGACAGCGGGGACAGGGATCTTCAAGCACTGTACCTCCAACCCAACATTCAGATGGATATTAGCAAAACCAATCACAAATGCAAATAGAAAGTCTGTCTATTGAATCATCAGTGAAGAATAACATAAGAAACACTGCAGCCCATTCAATAACTTGATTTCAAGACCATGTAAAACTTGTGGGAAGGCAGTACACTATGATTTAGATTAGTTCTCACTAGACAGGCATCAGGTTGGCAAGACAATTTCAAAAGAGACTGACTCACCTTCTTCGGATTCCTTGGTACTGGATGATGTGTTTTGCAAGGGATCAGTATTAACCGTATCAACCAAATCTGATCCAACCAAATCAGGATCTAGGATCTCATGGGTCCCATTAGTGGACAGCCTGGAGGACCGTCTCCTTGATAAGTCTTTGTCAGTATTTTCTGAGTAGTTTTTTGACTTTTCCTGGGCTATAAACCATTAAGAGAGTTATAGTCAAGAGACCAGAAGAAACAACTCTGCTATTCTAGATTTCTGGACCAGTTGCCTCTATAAGGGCTTTACACAAAGACTTCTGGAATATGAAACCAGTAATAAAAGGAAATATCCCTTCCTAGTTTACAGTTTTAAGTAAAGGCACAGTCTCTCTGCCAGGATAGAATTTTCCTTATTTAAGGATTCATGGTCTGCAAAATATGCTCCAAGGTCATGTCCTGATCTTGACAACTCTTCTGGGGCTTTCCAACATAAAAGTCTGTGTACTAACTTCCAAAGTCAATAAGGTTTACAGAGCCTTAGGGCCATTATAAATCCTTTTTGGAGCCACCAGGGCATTTTTTTTAAATCAATAAATAATATTTTTAAAGTTTCATTCAGCATATGAAATCTATCCCTTCCTAAGCCATTTTATTTCCAGTGGAATTCAAATCAAATGTAGTTTATGGGTATGGAGATGATACCACTGAACCTAACATTAATAACATTTGTGCTTTGGGATTTGTTTTTCTTCTAGCAAAACTCCTTCTGATCCAACTACATCTCACTCATATTAGCTCCTGTGATCAAGGACAAGCATTAGAGCCTAAAGAATAGGGGATAACACAGTAATAGCGGAGGCTAACCCAAGCGACGTCAAGTTCTAGCCGCACATACACAAACTGGAGACTCACATGAATTTTTGTCAAGCCGAGGACGTTTTAATGGGACTTCACTTCCTTTTGATATTTTCCGTCTTCTCAATTCCAATGTTATTGGTTGCAAAGTTTGAGAATTTGAATCCACAGCTACAACATATATAAAATCAGACACACAAAAAAAGGAGTATGTAATTTCTTAGTCCAGTTCTCATTATTATATATAAATAAAACACATACATACACACACACACACCCTTGCATGATGAAGAGACCCTCAAAGGGCATTCTTACTTAAGCTAAAAGAAAAAAAAACTGAAATGGGTGAGAAACTACTTCCTTATGGGAGATGCTGACACCTTGCAGACTGACCTCCTGAATCTCTCCTTTTGGTCTCTCCTATGACCCAGCTTTGGTCATATACTTCTCTCCTGAAACTCTCTCTTTAAAAAACTATACCCCAATATGACTTCTTTAAAACACGAAGGTGGGGGCAGGGCCGGCCCCGTGGCAGAGCGGTTAAGTTCGCACGTTCCGCTTCAGTGGCCCAGGGTTTGCTGGTTCAGATCCCAGGTGCCAACCTACCCAATGCTCATCAAGCCATGCTGTGGCAGGCATCCCACATATAAAGTAGAGGAAGATGGCTATGGATGTTAGCTCAGGGCCAGTTTTCCTCAGCAAACAGGAGGATTGGTGGTAGATGTTAGCTGAGGGCTAATCTTCGTCAAAAAAATAAAAATAAAAAATTTTTTAATTTAAAAAGTTTTTAAAAATAAAACATGAAGGTAAAAGAGCAACAGAAATGTCATTTTTATCACCATCAAATCTTCGTTTCAAAACTTGGCTTAGCCAACACTCAGGAAATCCACCATGCTGGCTAATTCCTAAAATGTGTACCCTGGGACTATGACTTGATTATTTTCAATCTCTACTTGCTAAATTAGTTAGCTTGGCACCAGTCCTAGCTCTGAGGGACCAAAAAGAATATCAACATTTATAACCTCTTAAAAACAATTCCAGAAGAACCTCAGGAGACTAGGCTATTTGATAGTCAGTGTTCCAAGCAAGGCTGCTGATCATTAGCAAATCCAGCTCTAACATAATTCAGCAGTGCAGGTGCTACACCCTTGGATAGTACTCACACTTTATTTTTAAACCTAACACTTAAGAAGTTTTCCCCCAATCAGGAATGAGAATCCAAAAGGCAGGCAGAAAAAAATCAAAGAAAAGAAATTGGGAAGCTTGAGGGGAAGATAGGGCTAAGGAGTCTGATGAAGGCTGAAGGGAGAGAGAGAAAAGGGGAAAGCGGAGTGGAGGAGGGAGGAAGGAAAGAAATGGGAGGGAAACAAGAAGGAAAAGAGAGAAGACTCATCTAAGACCAGCAGTTTCACATCCGCCATGTCAAATGGCCAAACAAGAGATGGGGTGAGCTCTGAGGAGGCAAATGTAATGAGAGTGCTGAACTCCTTGGCTCTTCCTGTGTTCAATCTTCCCAACGCGCCAATACTATTTTGTTCCAAGTGGTGGGAACTTGGAGATCACACACATTTCAAATTAAACACAAATACAAACAACCCTCCCTAACAGCTCAGATCCTGTTCCAATCAAGTCTGTACAATCTAGAGAGCTCAAGGCTCCCGTAAGTCAATGAACTTATTCCAAACACTTTTTAAAGGGGATCTCAAATATACGTAATATTGGCAAGCCGTCTTCACTGTTGAGACCACATACGAATGGAGGCTGACTATACAGAACTTCAGTATTTCCCAAACTCTTCTTACAGAAAGAATCATCTAGGAAGACTGCAACAATTCGAACTCCCAGATCCTGCTGCAGGGATTCTGACTGGAGAAGAATGCCTCAGGCAAGTGTTAACAGTAAACTTGGAAAACACCATTTCTCTATTAAATTGATCCTATCTGGTATGAAATCCTACACTTACAAAATAAAAGCAATAAGCTGAATGCCCTTTCTCATCCAGGTGAAGGTATGCAGCTTCAGGGGAGCAGTCTACAAACTGGTGAGCCACTACCCCAGCACACACTTCCCAGAGGTATGAGCCAAAGCATGAATAGCTAAAGGGGAATCTGTTTCAGAACACTCAATTCCCACATAGACTCTTTTCTAAACCGAGATGACGACACATCAGATGTCTGCCAGTTCACATTTTCCACCTCTCCTTGCATAAGAGCCCTTCTCCCACTTACATAAAAAGGCCTGCTTCTCGATCATCCTACATTTTAACACAGTACACTGCCCAGGGGTTTAAAACCTCCAGACTTTCTCAACTGGGGTTCCTCATTTGAAGAGAGAACACTGTTGTTATTTTCTCAATTCTCCCAAGGGTGGTTTATAACTAGTACCATTCTCAATGCACAGAAGAGAAGTCACCTCATTACAGATCATGGATGCCATGGGCATTAGGGCTTAATTCTCTCCCAGAACCCTGTTGAAAAAGCTACCCAATTTAGGCCAGTGCTGTCCAATAGAAACATAATGAGAACCACGAATGCAAGTCACATATGTAATTCTATATTTTTTGGTCATCACATTAATAGGTTTTAAAAAAAGTGAAATTAGTTTTAAGAATATATTTAACTCAATACATCCAAAAACATCATTTCAACATGTAATCAATACAAAAATTATTAATATTTTACATTCTCAGTTTTTTTGTACTGAGTATTTGAAATCCAGTATGTATCTTACACTTACAGTACATCTCAATTCAGACTAGCCACATTTCAAGTGCTCAACTGCCAAACGTGGCTGCAGCTACCATATTGGACAGCACAGGTCTAGGCCCTGTTTAGGCCTGGGACAATTCCAGCAGCTCCGCTCTTGAGGGTGAAACCTAGTTATAATCACTAAAGGGGGAGGTGCCTTACTTCATCTGGGAAGAAATCACCTGTTGTCTAATTTCCTATCTTAAAATTAGAACTCAGATGTGAAAAGTCTGTCTACTGGCAAAGGGTACTAATAATTTATTTGCAGTAAATTAGATTTTTTTCCCACAGAAATTAAGTCTGATGTAGCTGTCCGGACTGATAGAGAGGCCTGGCTTTGCATTTCTACGCCATAAGAGAACAAAGAATGAGCTAACATTGTAGTTCCACAGTTTTGATGAAAATATATTTTATGCCATATTTTATATTTTAAATATATCTTTTGCAGCTATTTAAATTTGTGAGAAAAAATTGATATCACTTTGAAATGTGGTAGGGGACTCACAATTTTTCAATAGTCACATGGAGAATACAGAAGCAAGAACATCTGAAGAACACTGCCAGATAATCGTGGGCAGCGGTCAGCCTAGAAATCCTGGGGGCTCTTCATGCCACTAAATTAATCTAGAGAAGGAATGTTTGGCTTAGGAAGAAACTAAGGGTTTGTTTCATTCTTGGTTATTCTAGAATTCCAAATTTCAGCTTTTTTTAATAATTGTGTATTCTTCCCTAAATCTGTACCCTCTAACCTTGACTCTTCCCAATTAGCCAACTCAGCTTTTTATTTAGACTGTGAAAATTTCCAATCAATAATCACTCTCCAGAGAGCTCAATTTCAAAATGCACCCATGCCTTTCTAAGCCCAGTGTTCTTTGGTCCCACCTCCTCCAGACGCCCACAACTATTTACTTCTCCTCCTTTCCTCTTTCATGTCTCTCATGAAAACTGTATTTCCTGATCCCAGGTTCTATTAAGCTTACTTAAACTGAGATCATTTGAATAGGCACAAGCAAAAGGCCTTAGCTTCTTAGGTTTTATCATATAAGCTGAAGTATCCAGTGGACAGTTATCTGACACCCCAGAAGCTCAGTCAGAGACACGTTTCCCAACTTGTGTTCATCTGGATACGGGCCTCCCTTAAACTTCAGCTCCACAGACAGGACTTGTTTTCAGATCACAGGACGACTCAAAGTCAGTCACAAAAACAAAAGATTAAAGTACAGGAGTTACAAAGAACCACAAAGGGCCACAGAAGAACACTCTGGCACTGCCCATTGCAGAGCCCACTTGGGAAACTCACCAGTAGGAGCTATGGAAGGGGGTCTGCCTCGTTTTCTTTTTGGCTCCCTCAAGTTTTCCTGTGGACTCTTCACAATGTCATTTTCAGGTTTCTTATCCACTTGAGCATCTCCAGAGTACTCTCTGTCATTTTCTGAAATGTTCTCCTTATCTTCCTTCTCGTTCTTGGGAAGGCTTTTCTCTGACACCTTCCCCTTTTCAGAAGAGATTAATTTTCCTTCTTTATCAGACTGCTTGGGTCGCTTTTCTGTCTTTAAGGTTTTGTCCTCTTTGTCTTTCTTCACGTTGACCGTGGCTTTTCTCTGCTCTTTAAACTTCTCTCGTTTATCAGGAGATGATGAAAGACTTTTGTGATCTGTCTCTTTAGGCCTAGCATTACCCACAATATTCTAAAATGAGCAAAATAGTGATGAAACAGACTTTGTGATTACTTGCAAATATAAAGTCAAATGGTTTTTTCTGCAAACTTATGAAAACAAACAAAGAAATTAAAAGAGGACATATGCCAGGTCACTTAATGGAAAGCACCACTGAAAACACCCACCATACTCCAAGGCTTTGAGAACCAATCCAAAGTTTAAAGAAAACAATGGTCATGGTCAATTCCTTCTGAGACAAAGCTATCTCCTTTATGATTATTAAGTCACTAGAAAATAACTAAAGCGACACACACACATGAGATCCAGGGACTTCTTCTGGAAAGCAATCTTGCTGATAGAGGTGTTCTAAGAAAATACAATTCATACCCTGTCCTTCTCATCCCAAGCATGACTACACTGAGCCAGGGCTTTCAGGGGCCTGCCTCAGTTTGCCAGTAGATGATGATGCCCTGTGTAGAGAAGAATCCAAACTGCTAACTGGAAGCTGAAGAGGAAAGCTGTAAAAATTTTCCAACCCAGAAACAAGGTCTCTGCTTCCTCTGCTGGGTACAGGCTGTGCTCAGTCCAACAAGCCAACTACTTTGTTACTAGCTACTGAGTTTTTGTCCATTAGGAGGAAGTACTGCTTCTTGGTTACTTTCCTTCTAAATTACTTTCTTTAAAACTCATCCTAAAAATCTCATGTCCTAGTATGACCATCACATAATAAAGCCAGCTCTGAAAGTTCTGGAGTTTACAGCTAAGTTTATTTGTGTATGTATCTCTCTTCTAAGATCTCAAGAGAAGAGCAGAGACCATCATATCACGTTCATATGGGATCCCCAGCACCTAGCGCACACCAAGCGTATACATCTTTGCCAGAAGCAGAAAGGAGTGCATAAATACTCACTGAGTGCAAGTTTAATTTGTCCCATAGGGGAAAATAATAAATAAGGAGAATCCATGTAGTTAGAGCCTAGAAAGAAATATTTTTTCAAGTCCCAAAAATTTTCTGAAAGTAGCCAGGTTTGAGAAAAAGCACTCCTCAGTAACTGCTGGCAGCAATATAAACTGCAACCATCTAGGGGTAAAGCGGGGAAAGAAGTGTGTTGGCAATTTGGGTCAAAAGACTTAAAAGTTTATGCTTTTGAATTAGAACAAATTCCTAGAAATGAGATCTGCTAAGAGAAAAATAAGTCTTGTGCGCTCAGATTTACAAATATCCTTAAATGGTCATGAGGGAATTGGTTACACAAAGTAGGGTTGCATCTACATTACAGAATACTATATAGCCATTAAAAGCCATATTCTCACACAGTATTAGGAACTTAGGAAAATGTCATTTTGTTAAAAGAAAGGAGCAAGTTATAGAATAGTAATACACTACAGGACTCCAATTTTGAAAAGAAATATATATTCATAAATACTTAACAAAAAACACAAAAGGATATACATCAAAATGTTACGAGCAATTGTATTTAGATGACAGAATTATATAGTTTTTACTTTCTTTGTGCTTTTCTGTACTTTCCAAATTTTCTGCAGCAAATATGTATTGTTTAACTTCAAAAAAAGATAAATGCTCCTAAAATATAGATTATGAAAATATTTAGGGCAGTGTGGTCCTACAGAAAAACTCAATCTATTCTATATGAAAAATGCTTTAACAATTGTGTGACATATTTTTCTAAGAAGTTTTGCTTTGTAAGTGGCTATTACAGAATCCTAGACTATTAGGGTTGAAGGGAGCTGAGAAGTCATTTATCCAAAAATCACTGTACCCTCTTGGAAAAGAAAGACAAGCAAACAGGAGCCATGGGCCCGTGCTTGACCACCTGCAGGTCCGAGATGAGGCAAGACACTCAGAGGCAGCTGGGAAGTGAGAACTGAGTCACCCACAAATCCACACCGGGTAAGGTGCCCATCTCCAAGCCAAAGCACCAGGAGTGCTATCGATCCAATTACTGAGCACAGCAGAGTAAACAGTTGAAGGTTCGTTATCTGCAGCCCCAGACATCCATTTGGGGAGGTTTTGGATACAATCTGACAGTTCTGGAAAAGTTCTTAATATGGTCCTCTATCTGTATTAACTCATTCCATAAACTCACAAAAAAATTGCCAAATTTAAGGCAAAAATAATGTTTGAGAGTACTGTGCAGCTCCTTAGATGCTGGAGGGGTAAACAATCAAAGGAAAACATCTTCAGGGCTAAATCTTTGTAATTTTGTCAATTTTCTGAAGAGGAAAACCAGCAAAAGACAAAAATGTTCTTGAGGCTACCTTTAGAGATATCATATGCCATAATCCTTTGAAATTGCTAAATGTATGTAGAGAAGAATTTACCAAAATCTGTGATAAGTGGAAGCATTTGATCATCATAAAGGAAATAACAGGTTCCAGTGTCACCAATACTATCACATCAACAATCACCCAAAGAGGTGAGCAAAAATTAGTAACAATTAGAATTTTTTTTAAAAAATCAATATCCAAATTTTGATCTCTCTTTCCTCTCAACTATTTGATTAAGACATAAACATGAAAAACACCAAAGGGGGAAAAAAATCACAAAGAAAGTAGGCAACACCTCTAGATGATCCTATCCGTGGGCACCGTATTTCTAGTATCAAAACTCAGGTCCTGTGCTCAGGCAAACACATGCACGGTGACTGGGACAAAAGGAAACAAAATTTTCAACCGAAGCACATCTAGTGCAAGTGATTGGCCTATCCACACCAAAATGTAGCTCTGTAACCATCAAGTCAGGATCCTGACCTGAAGCACAAAGTTCGATGAAAAGAAAACATCCTCTAGATCTCCTCAAGCATTTCAGCAAGTTCCTTGTGATGGGTAACAGCTCTGGGGCAGGGCACAGGGAGAGAGAAAAAAGAATAACCTGACACTTTTGATAAAAGATGAGGAAAACAGTTAATAGGTAATAGTATCCAAGCATTTGGTGCTTTTGAAAAGAAGAATCTGTGTTAAAAGGAAATGGCAGAGAGAGACAAATATTCACAATTCCTGAAAACTTGTATACTGCTTTCTGGTGAAATCATGTCAGACGGAGGAAATAAAGACTTTGCCATCATAAACAAATGTAATGTCTTTATTCGAGAAACAAAACTACAATGTTAGCATTATTCATACCATAAAGCACAAAACCACATTTCTCACCTGATCTTTGGAGAAAGCTTTGACATGAATATGTTTGACAGTCTGAATTACTCCATCATAAAATTTCACAGTGTAAGTACCTAAAATTCAAGAAGATATCATGATTTTAACTTACAGTTTTCATGAAAGCAAGAAAACTTTTCAAAGTATAAACACAAGGGAGTTCCAATCACAATAATAAACTTACGGGAATTAAAAAATTACTTAAGAATCACATTCAGTCTAACTTATATCCAAGACAGTAGTATGCTTGCCTTTCTTTTTATCTATACAAATCTTTTTATCTATATAAATCAAAATCCATCAAAAAATAACTCATTTTTATGATCCTTCATTAAAATAAAAAAACTTGCACTGAATTTAGATCAAGAACAAAGAATAGTAAAACGATTAAGAATGTGAGGAAAATGTAGACATTTATTTCTTGGTGAATTATTAATTTTCATCATTTAAGCTTTATTTTCTGGGCTTAGTTACGGGTAGTAATATCTTTTAATTTGGGAAGAAACATGACTGTCTGTAAAAGGTATCATTTTTTTTAGAGGTCACATTAATCTCAAAATCTATACCTTCACATTACAATATTTAAAAATAGACACTTGGCCAAAACACTAAATGTGCCTGCTACATTGTCAGTTTTATTCCATCAGAAAAAAATGTCCAACAAAAATCCCTCTCTGCTAAAAAACTGAAGCTGGAAATCCAAATAATCTATCTTCCCAAATAAAGCATCCAACTACAAAAGTTCTCATTAGTTGCACCCAAATCAATACTTTCAAACTTTGGCATCTTAGAACCCACCCACGTCCCCTTTTTTTGTCCCAGGGATTAAAAAAAAAGAATCACAGATAATCATGTAATGGGTTTACCGTTGGTAAACATGGTCAGTTTCCAGGACTGATTTCCCACCCACCATGAAAAGAAAAAAAATATCCCAAGGGCTGGGAACAGAAGAATGCAATAAGAAAGTTAAGACTTTCTAGCTGGTTACCTCCTTCTTATACATTCATCTCTCCACCGCCTCCCCACCTCTCCTCCAGTCCTAAGTAGGATCCTGTCAATGGCTAGCTACCTCTACTGAAAGCCTCCCTCTCTAGTGTTCAAAATCCAATGCAATCTGAGCCCAATTATCTTCCAAACTTCATTTCTTATTACCAGCATACAATATCCACCAATTCAAAATGATTAGCCACTTGCCACCCACTGAAACTGCCTTGCGATATTCCCACCTCCACATCTTTATCAAAGTGTTTTCCTGCCTGAAATGTGCCACTCATTGATTCTTAAGCACCCAGCTCAAATGACCACAATAGTTCTGTAAAAGCTTCCTGACTTCCTACCTGTGGGAGATTTCTCCTTGCTCTGACCTTCTCAAAGACTCAGTTGGCACCTGGCCTGCAGAGCCCCACACTTTGGTCTACTTCACATAGAAGGCAGATCCCAAATGGAAGGCAGGCTTTCCAAGGCCAGAGTTTCTCTCTCACACAGCACTTGGCTCAACCTAGACCAGTGCTTCTCAAAATGTGGTCCCTAGATCAGCAGTATCAGTAATTCCTGGGAACTTGCTAGAAATGCAAGTTGTGAGCCCCACCCCCGATTTACTGAATCAAAAACTCTCTGTGTTTGGGGCCAAACCATGGCCTAGTGGTTAAGTTCGGTGTATTACACTTTGGCGGCCTGGGTTCAGTGCCCAGGGGTGGACCTACACAACTCATTGGCAGCCATGCTGTGCTGGCGACCCACATACAAAATAGAGGAAGATTGGCACAGATGTTAGCTCAGGGCAAATCTTCCTCAGCAAAACAAACAAACAAAACACTTCTGTGTGTTTTAACAAGTCTTTCAGGTGACTGTAGTGAACACTAGAGTCTAAGAACCACCACTGTAGACAATTAGTAATTACCCACTGATCTTTACTCCTGGTAATTACAAAATAAAAGTGACTATCTGTCACAAGTGTCACCAATACACAAAGAAAGTGGCTAGCAAACAAGGCAGGATATATAGTTATACTGACTGGTTGGTTAAAACAAGCAATTAGATGACAGGTCATGATAAAGGATTCTACTTAAGGCAGCTCAGCAATGACTGATGAGTAGTTAAAACAAAGATCTGGGTTCCTGTCTTTCTGTCTCTCCTGTGAGGGTGCTGGCAAGCAAGGGATCAATGATAAGCAATGCTATGGAACTCTTAACAGACCCTTTTCAAGCAACTATGGTGCAGTTCTGGCCAGCCTGAGGATGGGAGTAGGAGATGGAGGCTTTAAGAACCCAATTCTCATGAAATCTTAAATATTAAGTGAGCCAACAAGCCATCCAAGCTATACTTTCAACTATTTTATCAACAAAGAAAGTTCAGCATCAGTTACATCACAACGAAAACTATCCATTTTTACACACATTTCGAACATCTAGACGGACAACATTGACTAATGCTACCCAATAGTCCAACATTTTCAGCTATTTGAGGTCAATTTTGAAGCTTACTCCTGACGGCAGGCTCAAAAAGGAGGCCTTAGATGAAGGGTTATGCCCGAGTTCCATGGTAAGTCTAAAACAGAGCTAGGATTAGAACCCAAGGCTGTCTGTTGACCTCTGACCAATTCTTCTCCCACCACCCCACACTGCCTATACCTCAAGTCCCTCAGCCTAAAGTCCAAAAGACAGACCCAGAGCACCCCTGGCCACTCTAAAATGACCCAACCTATGGCCAAAGTTGCTGAGGGACCACTGTCCTTAGATAGCAATATCCCAGCCCTGACCCTTTTTGCTTCCAAAGGACTACAAAGGATCATCTTGAAACTTTCTCCCTTGATCATGCACACAGCCTAACTTGGGCTTCAATAAATCAGAGGGAACAAAACAACACATCCCATGGATAACAGTGGCCTAGACCCACTTCTGGAGAGAAGCCCCAAATCTACTTTAATGCTTTCACGTATAACTAAAAGAATGTCTTCCCATGAAATCCTCTCATGGGTGACTGAAAATAGAGCTCTCCCATGGCCACAAATAACATGTAAATGACAGAATTCAAATAAGTGCATCTTTGACACAAAGGCCACCTACCTCAGGCTCCTGTAAGAAGTCCCTGTCCTTACAGTGCCAGGTGAAACAAGCTTCCTGGCCTCGCCCCTCTAGGGGTTAAGAACTCAGCATATCAGACGACCTTACAGCAGTCAGTAATGGCAGAAGGGATGTAGGAACAAGACTGGAGTTGCCCAGCAAGCTCCTCTTCTCTAGGACCAAAGAAACAGGGATACACAGGTGACTCTGCAGAGGACAGACTCCTGCTGCTCTTGAAATCGACCATAAATGTGACTCCAGCGCCCTTTCTCTATCCCACTCATTCTCCAGGAGTCAGAGAACTCCAGAATGCCATGGATAGGAGACTCAAAGTTTTCAAACATGGTTTAAAAGTCCTCAGGTTTCCACAAATGTGCCTCAGGGGCTGCACAGAGGGATATGCACATGTCTGCAGGCATACCTTCCCTTCCCCCTAAGTCTTTTTCCTCTCAGCAATTTTACATAATGGGCTTAGGTTCTGCAGCCAGCAATTTCAAAAAATGCTCATCTATTCCAATTTCTTTCCTGATTTCTAACTGCTCAAATTAGTCCAGAACAAAGGCAGTGAATTGCCTATAATCACTGAGTAGGGAATAGGACCAGAACCTGTCTCCCAATCAGGGCTCTCAAGACACCACCAGGCTCCAGAAAGTACAGGCCATCTACACTCACCCTACCATCATATCAGGCATGCATACACATACACACATAAGCACACAATCACCCAGTAAACCCATGGCCCTAAATGACAACTCCTGCCGTTTTAGGAAAACCCTGCTCCAGAGAGGCAGCCTGGAACTGTGGGAACTGCAGTTCAGTAACTTTGGAACCCCAAAGACTTCCCTTCAGATCTCAGCTCTACTAGTTATGTATGTGCTCTGTAACCTCAAGCAGTTTTTCCTGTGACCTTAGTTCCTCATCTGTAAAATAAGGCTCGGTTGACAGAAACAACCTTTCTATGTCTGTGCAAAGACTAAATAAGATAAAATACGGAAACTGCTAGCAAAGCGACTGTCACAGAACAAGGAATTGATAAGTGGCTCTAATTATTATCATCCACCAAGTCACTTATTTAAAAAGGAAGCACCATCCCCTCCCCCTCCAGAGAAGATAAGAGCCAAGCTAGCACCTCCATGTGTGGGCCTAAATCTTCCTTTTAGCTCTGTGCAAAGCTGTTCACATAATCCCAACATCCTCACATTTCAAATGTAGAATCAGTTACAGTGTGAAGAAAACAAAAAATAGTAAATGCTTCAACCCGAGATTCTGGAAATAAGATCATTTCCATAGAATCTCCTGTTATAAATGCAGACTTCAGGCACTGGGCCAAAGAGACTGAACCTGGGGAAAGGGAGCATGTGACCTCAGAGTATGCATAATTTTAAGGAACAGGGACCTGGTTCACCTGCTCACTCGACTTAAAGAACTACAGATCAACAGGAAGGAACAATTCCTCATTTTGTTGTAAATGCAAACCGACTTTCAGTTTCCCCCAGAGAGAATGCCTTGCAAGAGCAAAGTGGTCCACAACTGGGGGCACAAAGTCCTGACAGACAAGTAGCTCTGTTATCCCTGGTGTAGAAAACGGGAGCCGAGCAACCCCAGCAAAGAGCCAAGGTCAACTCACCAGAGATGGCTTCTGAACAAAGATTCCCTGGAAGCAGAATCCTATCTTTCACTCCAAAACACACCAAGCGTCTAACAAGGCTACCAGGTATGTCTGCCTTCACACTAAATAAGTTTACACTAAACGTAAACTTCGTTGCCATTGCTAAAGAACCATTCCAGGTGAAAAGGGCTAAATTACATGGCATTTTCCTCTCCAGTTTCCAAGTACTAAATAACTCCCTTAAGAAACTCTAAAGTTGCTATTTAGTTGAGATTCAATCATACCAGACTCCTAATGCCAACAGCCACTGCTTTCCACTCTGGCTAGAGGCCCCACCCACCAGCCTGTTCAGTCAATGCTCAGCCGCAGGAAAACCAGGGAGGTTAAGAGTAGTGAGAAGATCAGACCAAGCCTTCCAAAGATGAATTTACAGGGTGTGACTTCACTATATCCACGGCCTCCTTCTAGCAGCACCAACAAGACAGAATGACTTTTACAGGAAATTAAGGGGCCCCTTGCCAGCAGAGCTTCTCCTCATAGCGCCATAAAGCTGTGGTGGCCCCTGCTACAGAGGAAACTGAGGCAGGGCAGAAAATACCAGGGAAAAGAGTCCAGCATCGTCCCTCCCAATCGTGCAATTACTGGAATGAATCATGATGAACTAGAAACTGCTCACCAGCTCCCATGGATAAAATCCAACCCAAAGGCAGCACCTAAGAGTCATTATCTCATCTCAAAATCAGCACAGATCTGAGTTCCCACAAAGGCTAGCTTTCCTTCACAATCCAAGATGTGGCAATAATACTACCCAGCCATTCCACTAACTTTCAGGATTTCCCCTCCCGCATGTCCTTTTTCTCTCCTCCCCCTTCCAATTAGTCTCAAGAACCAAGATGGGTAGCAGCATAGTACAGGACTCCAGACCCAAAAACTCTGGGGAAAACACATTCTGGCAGAAATCTCCACTCATTTTCAATGTCCTTCAACTAACTAAAATTCATGGAACAAAATTTGGAACTTATAGAACCAACGCACTTGGGCAGTAAAAGACCATTTTAGGAAAACCATCACCTCAAGACTCTTCCCTCCTATAATTTTAGCTTATGGAGGAAATAAACTGAAAAGGTTTTTTGAAACAACTTGCAAAGCTCTGGTTGGCCCAGTTTAAGAGACATTTAAAAACCTTCACTATGGCCAATAATGTGGCCAATGACTTTTAGTCTTTAAATGATTATTTCAAAAGATTTCAGACCCACCCCCACAAAAAACCCAGTAACTGCAGACAGGGTGCCTCCTCCATCCCCTTATGATTTATCTGCACCATTCTGCTCCTGCCCTACCTCCTCCTGGTGCCTCTATCTCAGCACTTACCTCACTTTGCCTTCAACTACATGAGGATGCTTTGTTTGTTTTAAATCCATGATGTGAAGCTCTGGGCTCTGCAGATATCAGATGCAAACACAGTAGGTTTCTAAGCCTTTACTGCCTTTGTCAAGACATATCCCCCACTCCTCTAGGAGACAGCTCCCAGGGCTCCCCAAACTGCTCTCCCTCAATCTTCTCCTCCTTTGCCACCCTCTCATCCAATCCCCACTGCCCCATTTCTGTCCTCCATGTGACTTTGGGACATCACTGAAATAAAAGCGAAATGTTATTTCCTCTCTGCTACCTCCTTTATCTACAGTTACCCACATAACTACCCATAACTGTCATTTGATCTAAGGGGCAGCCATTTCCCCAAGAGAGCACACCGCCAAAGGGTATTATTCAGGGGGAAAATATGATTTCATCAGCACAAATCAACCTTACAGACTTTCAGGAACATGTCTATGTACATGAAGAACACTGTATTTCATATCATATGATTTAAATCCAGTAAGAGCAGAAAAAATTACTAATCTCGAAAATATGACTCTGAAAAAGTAAACTATGTATTTTACTAAAAGGACTTGAGGCAGTTTAATAACATGTAAGCTCTCCTTTAAAATAAGTGATTAGGTTAATGTGATACATATAAAAAGCAGTAACAGGATTTTATTTCGAACACAAGCTTATAAAAGTAATTTAGGGAAAAAAGGAACTATCCAAAAAGACGTAACCAACCATGAACTGGAGGATCAGTAACCGCTTAGACAACTTAGAAGATACAACTTTGTTCTCAAGGCCTGAGGCAAGAAAACTGTGCTTTAAGAATAACCTGCATCTGGTACGTGAATTAACCTCCATGTGTTAACTCACACTGGTCCAACAGCTGACAGCATGGGGGCAGGGTGAATGCAGCGATAGAGACACTAATGTATGTTCTACATGCAAATGTATGTTCATTTCTCAGCATTTCAAATCATTTTCAGACAAAACTTCTTCGTCAGCCCAAGGTCCAGCATCTGGCAGAGCAGTGAATAAATACATGAATAACTTCATTGAATGAAAAGTCAACCTGGCCTTATAATCACCCCTAACAGTAGTACAAGAGGTTTGATTGCCCTAAACATTCACTGCAGAGACCATGAACATACCACAAACATCCTGGTAGAAAATGCTAAAAAAAGGTATCATTTGAACCAGAGTTTGTTCTCTGAGTATCAGAATGCTGACCATACATATTATCTTCACAACCTTCCTCTTGCCTTTGTACTAGCAAAATGAGCCTCTCTCGGTCACATTCCTGTCCTGACTCCTCACATCTTCTAAACTCTGGCAAAGGCATCCCACTCAGCGCTCTAAATCCCAGTGCCCCAATTGCAACTAGCAACTCTGACATTACAGACCACCCTCAATGACTCTACATCCATACAGCACATTTTAAAGAAATGTTTGTTAGTGTTCACTTCATTTCTAACATATTAACAAGGAAGTAAAAGGAATATTAAGGGCTTATTTCATCAATTATATTAAGAACTCCTACACAGCAAGAACCTGCACACTTCCCAGCAGAGTGAGAGAAGAACCACGACTGTTTTAGAAAACAATGACTAAAATTTAGAAAGCAAAGAATCAAATGCCCCTTCTTAACCTAGCTTTCTCATCATTTATAATTTCTTCCTAACTCCTGACATAGTGATTAACTTGAAGAGAGGATTCCTAGGCAATAAATACATACTGAAAATATATTATCAAACTCTAATATTACAAACTACCCCCTAAGTCATGAGTAAAAACAATTACAACTCAAATGCCTTACCATCCTTGTTAACAGCAGTGACTTTGGCTGGATAGAAACGACAATCAGACCAGCAAGCAAGGACTTGCTCATTTATCTGGAATTCCTAAAAAACAGTTAAAAACAAAAAAGATCCTGTTACCAATTTCATTAGACACACAGTACCAGAATTCATAAAAGTGGCTAGAAGTGACAAGAATGGGAAGGAGAGATGGCTACTGGGATGGAGGAAGATGTTTCTGCTATTCAGAACTGGGAGTCAGGGGCCAGCCCAGTGGCGCAGCAGTTAAGTGCGCATGTTCCGCTTTGGCGGCCCAAGGTTCGCTGGTTTGGATCCCGGGTGCGGACATGGTGTCACTTGTCAGGCCATGCTGTGGCAGGCGTCCCACATATAGAGGAAGATGGGCACGGATGTGAGCTCAGGGCCAGGCTTCCTCAGCAAAAAGAAGAGGATTGGTGGCAGATGTTAACTCAGGGCTAATCTTCCTCAAAAAAAAAAAAAAAAACTGAGAGTCAAAACAAAAGGGCTGGACACACAACTTTTCCACCCTAGGAGGTGTTGGCAGGCACAGCAGAGCACTAATGATAACCCTTCTCTGTCCCTGAAAGTGAATCTAAGAGCCCAGGACCACCAGGGAACACACCCAGTATACAAACTGGAAGAAGGAGGCTATTTCATCTTGAGGGAAGCAGCATCCATACCACCTAATGCCACTCACACTGTTAAAGGGTCTTTTGCCAAAGGGAGCACCCATTCACCTTTAATATTTCATACGGTTTTCCTAGCACACAGTCTGCATTGATACATTTTGTAGAATGAATACTGAGCAATCAAATTGGACAATAGTGAACAATCCTAAACTGAAAACAAAAAAACAAGCTAGTGAGAGTTCAAGGTCCCTGGTCAGGGTTAAAATGGAAAACAGAATCCAGGGCTGAATCAGAACCAAAGGCAGCAAGATCTCTATAGATGTCACAATGCCTGTTCAAAAAACTCAAAACTAATTACTTCATCCTTCATTCTCAAGTCAGTAAAAGCTCCAGGCATAGTGATGAAATTTAGAAAAAAGGAATACCGTCCAATCAATTCCAAGTTTTTCAAGTGCTTCTAAAAGACCTTGATATGAGGCTAGCACAGAGCTCCACATGGAATGATTGCTTAATAAATGATCAAACAGCAGATGAACTTAATAAATGATCTAAAGGGATACAGTGGGGTAAAGAGAGAGAAAAGGTCCCTGTTCATCACAAATGCAGTCTTAACCAAGTTAGTTTATGAGCTGTCACGTCAATCACATCATACAAACAGATGACACCTGGGATTCTTCAAGAGCCCCATGTGCCATGAAGATCTCAGGGTTGCAACTACAGGCCTAAATAAGGATTGGTCCCCAGCTGCTACTGACTTTCACACTGAACATCAAAGGCTGGAACATCAAGTACCCAATGGCTGACCCAGCTCATTACAGAACTTTCCAGATTTGTTACTCACAGAAGATCCTTCCTCTTCATGTAAGCCCTCTTTCCTCAGCTGTATTTTCTCTAAAGGGCGTAAATAAGGACTGTCCCAGCAGAACCACTCATCGTAACGATGGTTCCAACGCTTGAAATGGATGAGTACTTTTCCTTCTTCGTAGTCAATGTCTTCTATGTGAGCTGGATACCTGAATCAGAAAAAAAATTGAAGTACCTTTAATAACTACCAAAATATCCAAGATGGTACCCTTCCAAACCTCTTCCCAAAGGAGTAGGTTACCAAAGTACCAAATAAAGCCTACCACTTAGAAGCTCTGTGTAATTGTGTCAAATCACAAATTACAGAGGCTAACAAACTTGAGGTTCAAATCCCAACCTGGATACTCCTTAGTTTAAGAACTCAGAGCCTGAGTTCCCTCATGTAAAGTGGAGGAAGGATACCCAACACACTGGGTTGTAGTGCAATTTAAACAAGATGAGATATACACAAGACCTGAGCACAAAAGAGGCAGGAAGCAAACATTTAACAACTAGATTTTACATGTGCCAATAAATTAGAATGACTATGCAACCCAAATTATATTACATGGTCTCAATCTTAAGAATTCTGTAATCCATATAGGGAAATATCATGCAGTTATTAAAAAGAACAAGATGGTTCTATGTCACCATACAAAAAGCTCTCTCAAAACGAACAGTTAAATGAAAATAGCAAGGTGCAGAACACTGTGTATGGTAAGCTATTGTTTATTTTTTTTAAAGATGAAAAAGAATATATATTCATGTATGTTTACATATCTGGAAAGATACACAGGAAACTAACAATGGTTACTTGTAGAAGTATGGTCAGTTCGGTAGATAGGCTCTTTCAATCTCCATTCCACCCTCTTTCTAGACTGAGAGAGCTGGGAAAACCAACAACTACATTTCCCTGTCTTCCACACAATTGGCAATCAAGGTGATGGAGATCTGGGGGTTTGGAGGCAACTGTGGTGGCCAGACCCAGCGCTCCAGTGCAGGGCCTCTCAACCTTTCATGTAATGCACATCATCAGGGGATCTTGTTAAAATGCAAATTCTGATTCAGTAGGTGGAGTCAGGGCATAAGAGCTTGAAATAAGCCCCCAGGTGATACTAATGTGCTGGTCTGCAGTAGCAAGGGTCTAACACCTAGTCACTGGCTTCCTGAGTATCAAGCAGCAATGGTGAGGGTGGCAGTGGCAGTAGTGACTTCCTAACCTCCAGACGATAGCTCCAGTGGTGAATGGATACTCTAAGAGCAGCCCCCTGAGTCCCACACCACCAACCCTTCCAACAACTTTGTAAGTACCCAATTCCTTGTGTTAAATCCTTTTGTCATTAAAGTACACAGAATAGTTTCTGTTTCCAGCATTTAAACCTGACTGATACAAAAGGGGAACTGGGCGGGGGAGGGGAGGAGTGGGAGAGAGACTTTTTGCAGCATACTTTTTTTTTTAAAGACTGGCACCTGAGCTAACAACTATTGCCAATCTTTTTTTTTTTTTTTCTGCTTTTTCTCCCCAAATCCCCCCAGTACACAGTTGTATATTCTAGTTGTGGGTCCTTCTAGTTGTGGCATGTGGGACACTGCCTCAGCGTGGCCCAACGAGTGGTGCCATGTCCGTGTCCAGGATCCGAACCAGTGAAACCCTGGGCCACTGAAGTGGAGCGCGCAAACGTAACCACTTGGCCACAGGGCTGGCCTCTGCAGCATACTTTTTAACACTTCTTTATTTTTCCACCACATAAATGTATCGCTCATTCCAAAAATAAATAGATGGTTAAAAATAAAGAAAAATAAATATCATATGCAATTGTTCTCTTAAATACACTTGTATTAATGAGATTGCTATTCTAGATTGAGAAAGTTTAGATTCTGCCTGTATTTTCTCCCTACAACATGGATTTGTACCATTTTTTTCCTTTCTTGTAACCAGCACTTAGTACCCTGCTGTCCTAATTAATATGTGCTTCTTAAACAAACAGGCCTCCTGCCTTGTGTCTCTATGCTGTGTCTTCTTCAACCCTATGCTAGTATCCTGTAAGGCAGTTTGCTTGGCATTAATCTATCACAGCAGGTTGCAGATACTGGGCATTCGATAAATGTTCAGCAAATGAATTCCACTCTCTCTCTTCTTCCCAAAGGTCACCTGTCCTGTCAATTCTTCAGTCCCAAGGCTCTCAGACTCCAGCTACCTATGCCAATTTCAGTCACTCTCCAACTTCAGGCCACCATCACTTCATATGAGTATTTCCCACACAGGACTGACACGGTATGCTCTTCAAAATTCCTAATGGTACTATGCATATATTAATTGTTCATAAAATATCAACAGAAGGAATAAACAGCCCTGAAACTAGTCTCCTTACTCCAATCCGACTGACAAACAGCTGCTATAAACACAAGACATCTTGACAGCAGACTGGCTAATTGTATAATCTGATGAACTGAGTAGTACAATTCTAGGAGACAGAGGATTCCCTAAACCTACTCCTCTCTGTAAAATGGGGAGAAGGACATGAATATCTCAATTATATTCCTCTTGCCCTCTCATTCATTCAGCCTACCAGAGACTAGTGAGCCTCCCTAAAATAACATGATCTGGGTTTCCTTAATGGTTTACTATCTATAGCAATAGTTTTCAAACACAGGTCTTTGGATCAACGCACAGAATTAATTTTTCACAGAACTAAATTTACAGAACTTTTCTTTATAAAAAAAATCATATTCTTTCTAACTTTTTGGTGCTTAAATATACTTTTTTTTTTTTTTTGAGGAAGATTAGCCCTGAGCTAACTGCTGCCAATCCTCCTCTTGTTGCTGAGGAAGGCTGGCCCTGAGCTAACATCCGTGCCCATCTTCCTCTACTTTATATGTGGGATGCCTACTACAGCATGGCTTGCCAAGTGGCACCATGTCTGCACCTGGGATCCGAACCACGAACCCCAGGCCACCAAAGCAAAACATGCGCACTTAACCGCTGCACCACTGGGCCAGCCCCTTAAACATACTTTTTAAGTTAAAACAATGTTAATTGTTTTCAATACCCTTACTAATATTATGCAGTCATTGAAAACAATGAGGCAGCTCTCTACGTACTGATTTTAAAAGATTTCTAAGAAAAGTAGAAAAAAACAAGATATAAAACGGTACTGGGTACTGAATGCACTATCCTTTCTTTGGGGGAGGGGAGACAGCCAACACATTCATCCCTGTTTTTAAATGCGTGGGCTATCTCTGGAAGGGTGATCAAGCAACTCGGTTTGCCTCTTGGGAGGGGAACTGGATAGTTAAGGAAGTGGAGAGGAAGTATGAGACTTATTTTATTCAATGTATATCCTTTTGTAAGTTTTGAATGTTGTACCATGAGCATGTATTAACTATAAAAAGTATATAATTAGATATTTATTTGAAATATATTTATTTGGCAAAATAAAAAGTTGGCAACCTCAGGACAAATCTCACACTCCTTTGAATCCGCACTGCTCAGTGTCTTCTGAAAGTCTGGGAAGTCTGGATCCACAGAATCAACTCCAAATTCCTAGGCTAGCAACTCCACTGCACACATTCAAAGTCTGTGGGACCTCTGGGCCCTCGGCTAGCCTAACTCTCCTTCCTTGCTCAAAAAACTTCACAGGGCACAGGCATCCCACTGTCTGCAGACTACACAAACCTCTCCAGGAGAATCAACAGTAACCAAGGGGTCAGCAGGGCTTCCTAAGTAGGAAGTGGTTCTCCCTACTGCTCTAAAGTGTGACAAGGATGCAAGTCACTCATGGAGGATGGGGAACCAAACTGCATTTCAGAGGAAAGGGAGACAGTTGAGATCTTACTTAGAGATCAACTCAGTAAGACTGGTGGATCACAACTGCTAGTTGCCTTAAGGACAGCTCAGCTTCATCAGTCAACAGAATTTTATTAAGTAACTTTGATCTGGCCAGTCAATTCCAGGTCTTGGAAGGGATTATGAGACATACGTGTTCTGGCCCCTACCCTTGAAAAGAACCAGACACATGAACCAATTAAGCTTTAAAACGATTAGGTGGAACCACATGAAACTGCTTTTTACCTACAAAAATACTAACGCTATCTGGTTCAATATAAATATTTGGACAACCATAAGGGGAGCTGGAGAAGACACAGGAAGGTTAACAAAAGAGATGTGAATTGAATCCATATAGACAGAAAAGAGAAGAGAAAATTTCCAGCTTCAACATGTAACAGCCACTGATGAGACTCTAGTTTCCAACTAACATTGCAGCTAGGAGTCACATTTCTAAGGGAAAATTAGCCAGAAAGGAACAGATATTGAACATCAAACTGACAACAAAAGTTAACTCTGGGGAGAAAGAAAGTCTCTTGCAAATGGCCAAGAGACTTTTGCTTGAAGTTTGAATTTTTACAAGGATTTAGTCACATAACACTTGTGAAAGAAATTTAAAGTTTTAAACAGCATTTAATGGGCAGATATCAACTAATAGCTTCATGGTTATTGGGTTTATATGCTGCTTGGCACATCCACAAAATAGAATATTATGTAACTGTAAGAAAAAAATGAGAACACACTCTATCAATTGATATAGAAAGATTTCCAAGACATATTAAGTTTAAAAGAGGCAAACTACACAATAGTGCATATCTTGTGATACCTTCTGTGTTACAAACGAGGAAAATAAGAACATATATTTATTTTCGCTTGCATTTAAATACAATAACACTGGTAGGATGGGCAGAAACTAAAAAAGCTGGTTATCTATAGGGGGTAGAAGAGGTACAGGATAAAGAAGTACAAACAGGGGCCAGCCCCATGGCCGAGTGGTTAAGTTTGCATGCTCCGCTGCCAGGGCCCAGGGTTTCGCTGGTATGGATCCTGGGCGCGGACATGGCACCGCTCGTCAGGCCACATTGAGGTGGCGTCCCACATGCCACAATTAGAAAGACCTGCAACTAAGATATACAACAATGTACAGGGGGTTTGGGGAGATAAAGCAGAAAAAAAAAAAAAAAGAAGAAGAAGATTGGCAACAGTTGTTACCTCAGGTGCCAATCTTTAAAAACAAATAAAAAATTTAAAAATTTTTAAAAAAAAGTAGAAGCAATCAATTTCACTGAATGCCTTGTTACAATGTTTTGATTTTTTGAACCTATTCAAAATCTATCCAATGGA